ATTTAAGGTTTATTTCGGCCTGACGTGAAATGATCAGATTTTGGACAAAGTCGGAACATCTGGGGGGGGGGGGGTACTTTATGGGAGGCCGTTTTTATATTTTATGGAATATATCTGTTATTTATGTTTGGAGAGGAAAATTGTTCAAATAAAAGTTACTTCTTATATTATTCTCTATAATTTTTTTTTAATTTTCCTAAAATGGTCCGTATTCCAGAAATTTGGCAAAATGTAAAAAAATAAAGTTTTTTTGAAAATTGTTTAAATAAAAGTTGCTTGTAATATAATTTTCTATAATTCTTGCCCTATATTTATTTTCTCTAAAATAGACCGTATTCGAGATATCTGAGAAAAAGTGTAAATTTCGAATAAAATGTAAAAAATTGTTCAAATAAAAGTTGTGTGTTACAATATTTTCTATAACCTTTATTATGGCCTGCAGTGAACTGACTAGATTTTTGACAGTACGAAAATACTGAAAAATTCAAATTTTACACATTTCTTAAATTTTTTCATTACGGTCCATTTTAGAGAAATCATGTATATAACAAAAATTATGGAAAATGATATCGCAAACAATTTTTATTTGATTTTTTTAATTTAAATTTAGCCCTTTTTGATATATTTCTTGAATACGGGTCATTTGAGAGAAATTATGTATGGGACAAGAATTATAGAGAATGACATCAAAAATAATTTTTATTTAAACAATTTGCTTCTGCAAGTATAAATAACAAAACCCTTATTTTCTGAAAGTCTAAGATTAACCTTTTTCGTACAAATTTTACCTAAAACATTTTTACTTTCCTATCTGTATACAGATATAAGGAAAGTATAGGAATCATGATTTTTTTCGACCTCGAGTTTTCGACGGATTTTTACGTTTTGAGGTCCCCTGAATCCATTTTGACTATTTTCGCGATGATGTCTGTGTGTGTGTGTGTGTGTGTGTGTGTGTGTGTGTGTGTGTGTGTGTGTGTGTGTGTGTGTGTGTGTGTGTGTGTGTGTGTGTGTGTGTGTGTGTGTGTGTGTGTGTGTGTGTGTGTGTGTGTGTGTGTGTGTGTGTCTGTGTGTCTGTGTGTCTGTGTGTGTGTGTGTGTGTGTGTGTGTGTGTGTGTGTGTGTGTGTGTGTGTGTGTCTGTATAACGCATAACTCATGAACCGATACACAGAAAAACACCAAATTTTAAACTTAAGCTTTGTTTTAGCGTCCAATGAGCTGATTAGATTTTGGGCAGAGTCGGAACATCTGGGGGGGTACTTTATAGGTGGTCATTTTTATATTTCATGGAATATATCTGTTATTTACGTTTGGAGAAGAAAATTCTTCAAATAAAAGTTACTTCTAATATAATTATCTATAATTTTTGTTCTATGCAAAATTTTCCTAAAATGGTCCGTATTCGAGAAATTTGACAAAATGTAAAAAAAATAATTTTTTATAAAAATTGTTCAAATAAAAGTTGTTTGTAATATAATTCTCTATAATTTTTATATTATACATAATTTTTTTAAAATGGACCGTATTCGAGATATTTGAGAAAATGTGTAAATTTCGAATTTTGAAGAAAACTCAAAAACGGATAAAGTAAAAAACATTAAATTTTAAACTTAAGGTTTATTTCGGCCTGACGTGAAATTATTAGATTTTAGACATAGTCGGAACATCTGGGGGGGTACTTTATGGGAGGCCACTTTTATGTTTTATGGAATATATCTGTTATTAATGTTTGGAGAAAAAAATTTTTCAAATAAAAGTTACTTCTAATATTATTATCTATAATTTTTGTTCTATGTAAAAATTTCCTGAAATGGTCCGTATTCGAGAAATTTGACAAAATGTGCAAAATTTTGATTTTTATGAAAGTTTTTGAAATAAAAGTTGTTTGCGATATCGATCTCTATAATTTTTGTTTATACATGATTTTTCTAAAATGGACCGTAATGAAAAAATTGTAGGAAATTTTAATTTTTCAGTATTTTCGTTTTCCATGAATATCTATAGAAAAATGTTTCGAGGTAGATGTATGTGGACAATGTATATATTTAGTTTATCCTCCAAACATTTATAGAGATGCTGCAATAGGTTGTACAAAATAACCGGAAAAAGCCTATAATAACTAGATAGGAAAGTCATGTGTTGGACACATCAGATTTTTTTATAAAGGAACATGAGTTACTTCATTTACTGACTTTGAGAGGAAACACTAACATAGATTGGTTGGTATTAAAACTCAGTTGGCGCCATTTTAATTTATTCTATTTATGGTATTTTTTTAAAGCTAGTCACCTACAGCTATTGTTTGAGCTACGTCTAAGGCCTGAAAGTTGATACCGGAACAACTGAAACTTATATGACCTAGTAGACAAAATTTGTATTAGAAAATTTTTTCTTAAAAAAAAAAGAATGTCCTCTAAAAGATTGTGCGATTTTTCCTTTAGAAGTTAGACTTTCAATCTTTCAAGGCGAGATCCTCTTTCTGAAAAAATAATTATCTTTTAAACGGTCGACTAATTATGACATTTAAGGTCGTGTATTACCTTAGAATGTCATAAAAAGAAAGAAAATGACCTCTAAAAGTTTGTGTGATTTTTCCTTTAGAAGTTAGACTTTCAATCTTTCAAGGCGAGATCCTCTTTTCGAAAAAATAATTATCTTCCAAAGGGTCGACTAATTATGACATTTAAGGTCGTGGATTACCTTAGAATGTCATAAAAAGAAAGAAAATGGCCTCTAAAAGTTTGTGTGATTTTTTCTTTAGAAGTTAGACTTTCAATTTTTCCAGGCGAGATCTTCTTTCCGAAAAAATAATTACCTTCCAAACGGTCGACTAATTATGACATTTAAGGTCGTGTATTACCTTAGAATGTCATAAAAAGAAAGAAAATGACCTCTAAAAGTTTGTGTGATTTTTCCTTTAGAAGTTAGACTTTCAATCTTTCAAGGCGAGATCCTCTTTTCGAAAAAATAATTATCTTCCAAAGGGTCGACTAATTATGACATTTAAGGTCGTGGATTACCTTAGAATGTCATAAAAAGAAAGAAAATGGCCTCTAAAAGTTTGTGTGATTTTTTCTTTAGAAGTTAGACTTTCAATTTTTCCAGGCGAGATCTTCTTTCCGAAAAAATAATTACCTTCCAAACGGTCGACTAATTATGACATTTAAGGTCGTGTATTACCTTAGAATGTCATAAAAAGAAAGAAAATGACCTCTAAAAGTTTGTGCGATTTTTCCTTTAGAAGTTAGACTTTCAATTTTTCAAAGCGAGATCCTCTTTCCTTTGTTTAGGGTAATTTGGGTCTGGAAAAGCCGAAAATTACCCCGCAATTTTTTTAGGGCTTCTCAGTTTTCTCGTAGGACCCCAAAATCGCCGTTTTATATTGTCATTTTCATCTGTTCCAGGCCAAAATACACTATGATCAATTTTTTTAAATTTTTAGATTAAGTAATAAAAAAATTTGTGGTCCAGAATTTACATATTTTTTCATTATTTAATTTTTATTAAAATGGTTAGAAAGATCTAGTAATTTTAGAATATTCATTCATCACTATGGCGAACACATTTCAAGTAGCTGTCATTAAAAATTTTACAACAGATGCAGTAAAGTGAATTTTTTGTTTCGGAATACAACAATCAAAAACTATCTCTCGGATTAATATCCTTTTTACTTTCCTATCTGTATACAGATATAAGGAAAGTATAGGAATCATGATTTTTTTCGACCTCGAGTTTTCGACGGATTTTTACGTTTTGACTATTTTCGCGATGATGTCTGTGTGTGTGTGTGTGTGTCTGTGTGTGTGTGTGTCTGTGTGTGTGTGTGTGTCTGTGTGTGTGTGTGTCTGTGTGTGTGTGTGTGTGTGTGTGTGTGTGTGTGTGTGTGTGTGTGTGTGTGTGTCTGTGTGTGTGTCTGTATAACGCATAACTCATGAACCGATACACGGAAAAACACCAAATTTCAAACTTAAGCTTTGTTCCAACGTCTAATGAGCTGATTAGATTTTGGGCAGAGTCGGAACATCTGGGGGGGTACTTTATAGGTGGTCATTTTTATATTTTATGGAATATATCTGTTATTTACGTTTGGGGAAGAAAATTTTTCAAATGAAAGTTACTTCTTATTTTATTATCTATAATTTTTGTTATATACAAAATTTTCCTAAAATGGTCCGTATTCGCGAAATTTGACAAAATGTAAAAAAATATTTTTTTTTATAAAAATTGTTCAAACAAAAGTTGTTTGTAATATAATTCTCTATAATTTTTATCCTATAGATAATTTCTCTAAAATGGACCGTATTCGAGATATTTGAGAAAATGTGTAAATTTCGAAATTTGAAGAAAACTCAAAAATGGATAAAGAAAAAAACATTAAATTTTAAACTTAAGTTTTATTTCGGCCTGACGTGAAATGATTAGATTTTGGAAAAAGTCGGAACATCTGGGGGGGTACTTTATGGGAGGCCGTTTTTATATTTTATGGAATATATCTGTTATTTATGTTTAAAGAAAAAAATTGTTCAAATAAAAGTTACTTCTAATATTATTATCTATAATTTTTGCTTTATGTAAAAATTTTCTGAAATGGTCCGTATTCGAAAAATTTGACAAAATGTGCAAAATTCTGATTTTTATGAAAATTGTTGAAATAAAAGTTGTTTGCGATATTGATCTCTATAATATTTGTTTATACATGATTTTTTTAAAATGGACCGTAATGGAAAAATTGTAGGAAAAGTGCTAAATTTAAATTTTTCAGTATTTTAATTTTCAATGAATATCTATAGAAAAATGTTTCGCGGTAGATGTATGTGGACAATGTATATATTTAGTTTATCCTCTAAACATTTATAGAGATGCTGCAATAGATTGTACAAAATAACCGGAAAAAGCCTGTAATACCTAGATAGGAAAGTCATGTGTTGGACACATCAGATTTTTATTTTGATAATGAGCAGGGCAACGTTCTACTAATTCTTGATTATTATTAGGACGTAAAAACTATTTTTTTTAATAAATTTTCTTAAATTTTCCTGTTGATTCTTGCAGAAATATAAACCACTACTGACAGATTAGCAATAATTTTAAAATACCCATTGAGTACGTCAATCAAAATGTTCAAATGACAAATCTAATAATGTTTTCTTTTAATTTTTTTTAAATTATTAGTGGAGATGTTAAAAATATAAATTATCCTTATGATTTTATCAAATTTTTACTGTTTGTATATTATTGTATCCCCATTTATTATAAATGTTACTGCAGGTAAGTTAATATGACTACTGTTTGACACACATGCAACCAATCCGTTTTTAAACTGATCATAAACAACTTTATCCTAAGGTCTGTTCCAACAACGATGACACAAGGATAAATCACTTGTTTCAAGAAGAAAATAATTAGTTTGTGACTTATCTATAGTAGCAACAAATTCTATAAATTTTACTAAAATAAACAAATCCAATTCCGATTTACCATTTTTATGTAGCAATTTTTGTTCCAGATTGCCTGGCAAATCCTTTTCAACACAGATCTCCTTTTTTAATACGACCCGAAACCAATGAATATCCTTTTTCTATTATCTACCCAAATTTTGGAGAAACTGTTATAAGATTCAATGCAGGAGATGCAATAGAATTTGCTTGTCCTCATCAAGAAGTTGTTTATAGTGAAATCCGTACACCAACTATGGTGAGAGGTACGTGTACATCATCAGGACGATTTGAAATGAATGGGAAACGTATTTTATTTGAAAATATAGTTTGCAGTGATGAACCTAGATCAGAAACAAGATTACTGGTATCTTCAAACTCACAATGTGGTAATAACGCTAGATTAGCAGAAGTAGGATTTGATATAGGAAGAAATCGCTTTCTGACCGCCTACATAGTTTGTTTCGATTATTATAACGAAATACCTTCATACACAAGACATACTATAATATCAAATATCAATTTTGGATTCAACACAAAAGAACGACCTTTTTTTATTCAAGATGACGACTTCTACAGAACTAATAACATCGATAATTTCTATACAAGGAATAAACATAGATCTACCATTAACAGATTGATTGGTCTACCAGATTCTTCTACCAAATACATTCAAAACGACTACAAATTTATATCTAGAGGACATTTGGTTGCAAAGAAAGATTTTTTTTATAGATCCTTCCAAATGGCAACTTTTAGAATGATCAATGTAGCTCCTCAATGGCAGACTTTTAACGGATTCAACTGGAATCAAGTTGAAATTGATACTAGGAATTACGCAAATGATAATGAATTAAATTTAGAAGTCTACACAGGGATATTTGGAGTAGACACTCTACAGCATGAAAATAATAATCAAGATATACCATTGTATTTAATTTCTCATGGGAATCATCTAGCCCTACCAGTACCAGCGCTTTTTTGGAAAATTATATACGATAGTACTAATAATAAAGGGATTGTATTAATTGGATTAAATAATCCATACAAAAGAGATGACGGTAATGTAATATGTTCAGATATATCAAAGCAAATAAATTGGTTGACATGGGATCAATTTAACGTACAAAAAGGGTATTCCTATGCATGTACAATTACAAGTTTTAGGTATGCCGTGCAGGAACAATTACATGTACCAGATGATATACCTGATCTTGGTTTAGAAGAAATATTAGTGTAATTATTTCGAAACGAAAGGTATTATAAAAAAATTGTTACTGGACCTTCAAACTGCTTTTTTTACCCCTATTCTGTAATATACTTATTAAATACCCAAAATATGTCTAATATATTCATTATTTTCGACCAATATTTAAGATATATACAAAAATTCTTAATTTTTGATATTTATCCTTACGAAAAAGTACATCCAAAAATAGTATGCCTCTTTTAAAACCATATAACTTTAATTTGAAATATTTGTATAATATTGAAATACATTTCATACTTTTACTGATCATAATGTATTCTCATTGTGATTGCGGTTTAACAGCTGCTACAAATAAAGAATGTCAGGACTAATATTCTGCATCTGATGCTGCTCCAATTGGTATTACTTTCGTATCGAATTCATTGTCTATTATATCACGATTTTTTTGCTGTTTTGCGAATTAAGTTTGTACAGTTACTCTATTGGGCGTAATTTCAAAATAATCGTATAGTAGGTAAGCGTTTAATTATGTAATATAATGATAATAACCGTTTGTTCAGTAGATTTACAACAAAAAAGTTAAGATACTATTACTGTTGTGTCGTCAGAATAAATATCCTGATTTTTAAAATATTCAGGCATATCGTTACCGCACAGTAGGAAAAGTAATGGGCTTAGTACTCCCCCTTGAGGGGTTCCTAGGTCATTATAAAATATATCAGAGTGGATATTATCAACTGAAACAAAAAATCTGATGTGTCCAACACATAACAACACAAAACGGATTCAGGGTGCCTCAAAACGTAGAAAAAAATCATGATTCCTATACTTTCCTTATATCTGTATACAGATAGGAAAGTAAAAATACATAATTTGAATATATTACTGTATTTTTTTTCATAGGGAAATACACCTACTGGTTAGGTTAGATAGATATTTAGATCTATCTAGGTATTTAGATCTATCTAGGTATTTAGATCTATCTAGGTATTTAGATCTATCTAGGTATTTTTTTTCATAGGGAAATACACCTACTGGTTAGGTTAGATAGATATTTAGATCTATATACACCTACTGGTTAGGTTAGATAGATATTTAGATCTATCTAACCAGATATTTAGATCTATCTAACCTAACCAGTAGGTGTATTTCCCTATGAAAAAAAATACCTAATTTGAATTGCAGTCCACCGTCCGACTAGATTTTACGTCTATCGGTGTTTAATCTATATATACCGGGTGTTTAAATTAAAGTTTTACAATTAAATATCGGCGAAAATACGTTTTTTATAAAAAAAAATCTGTATCCAATACATGACTTTCCTATGTAGTTATTATAGGCTTTTTCCGGTTATTTTGTACAACCTATTGTAGCACCTCTATAAATGTTTAGAGGATAAACTAATTATATACATTTTTCACCCTATAAAAGTAACAAAAAGTGTTCTCAAACCATAAAAAAATAATTATTAGGAAAAGTAATGGGCCTAGTACTCCCCCTTGAGGGGTTCCTAGGTCATTATAAAATATATAAGAGTGGATATTATTAATTGAAACAAAAATCTGATGTGTCTAACACATGACAACACAAAACGGATTCAGGGTGCCTCAAAACGTAGAAAAAAATCATGATTCCTATACTTTCCTTATATCTGTATACAGATAGGAAAGTAAAAATACATAATTTGAATATATTACTGTATTTTTTTTCATAGGGAAATACACCTACTGGTTAGGTTAGATAGATATTTAGATCTATCTAACCAGATATTTAGATCTATCTAACCTAACCAGTAGGTGTATTTCCCTATGAAAAAAAATACCTAATTTGAATTGCAGTCCACCGTCCGACTAGATTTTACGTCTATCGGTGTTTAATCTATATATACCGGGTGTTTAAATTAAAGTTTTACAATTAAATATCGGCGAAAATACGTTTTTTATAAAAAAAAATCTGTATCCAATACATGACTTTCCTATCTAGTTATTATAGGCTTTTTCCGGTTATTTTGTACAACCTATTGCAGCATCTCTATAAATGTTTAGAGGATAAACTAATTATATACATTTTTCACCCTATAAAAGTAACAAAAATTGTTCTTAAACCATAAAAAAATAATTATTAGGAAAAGTAATGGGCCTAGTACTCCCCCTTGAGGGGTTCCTAGGTCATTATAAAATATATCAGAGTGGATATTATCAATTGAAACAAAAAATCTGATGTGTCCAACACATGACAACACAAAACGGATTCAGGGTGCCTCAAAACGTAGAAAAAAATCATGATTCCTATACTTTCCTTATATCTGTATACAGATAGGAAAGTAAAAATAGATAATTTGAATATATTACTGTATTTTTTTTCATAGGGAAATACACCTACTGGTTAGGTTAGATAGATCCAAATATCTATCTAACCTAACCAGTAGGTGTATTTTTTATAAAAAAAATCTGTATCCAATACATGACTTTCCTATCTAGTTATTATAGGCTTTTTCCGGTTATTTTGTACAACCTATTGTAGCACCTCTATAAATGTTTAGAGGATAAACTAATTATATACATTTTTCACCCTATAAAAGTAACAAAAATTGTTCTTAAACCATAAAAAAATAATTATTAGGAAAAGTAATGGGCCTAGTACTCCCCCTTGAGGGGTTCCTAGGTCATTATAAAATATATCAGAGTGGATATTATCAATTGAAACAAAAAATCTGATGTGTCCAACACATGACAACACAAAACGGATTCAGGGTGCCTCAAAACGTAGAAAAAATCATGATTCCTATACTTTCTTTATATCTGTATACAGATAGGAAAGTAAAAATACATAATTTGAATATATTACTGTATTTGAATTGCAGTCCACCGTCCGACTAGATTTTACGTCTAGTCGGTGTTTAATCTATATATATACCGGGTGTTTAAATTAAAGTTTTACAATTAAATATCGGCGAAAATACGTTTTTTATAAAAAAAATCTGTATCCAATACATGACTTTCCTATCTAGTTATTATAGGCTTTTTCCAGTTATTTTGTACAACCTATTGTAGCACCTCTATAAATGTTTAGAGGATAAACTAATTATATACATTTTTCACCCTATAAAAGTAACAAAAATTGTTCTTAAACCATAAAAAAATAATTATTAGGAAAAGTAATGGGCCTAGTACTCCCCCTTGAGGGGTTCCTAGGTCATTATAAAATATATCAGAGTGGATATTATCAATTGAAACAAAAAATCTGATGTGTCCAACACATGACAACACAAAACGGATTCAGGGTGCCTCAAAACGTAGAAAAAAATCATGATTCCTATACTTTCTTTATATCTGTATACAGATAGGAAAGTAAAAATACATAATTTGAATATATTACTGTATTTGAATTGCAGTCCACCGTCCGACTAGATTTTACGTCTAGTCGGTGTTTAATCTATATATATATACCGGGTGTTTAAATTAAAGTTTTACAATTAAATATCGGCGAAAATACGTTTTTTATAAAAAAAATCTGTATCCAATACATGACTTTCCTATCTAGTTATTATAGGCTTTTTCCGGTTATTTTGTACAACCTATTGTAGCACCTCTATAAATGTTTAGAGGATAAACTAATTATATACATTTTTCACCCTATAAAAGTAACAAAAATTGTTCTTAAACCATAAAAAAATAATTATTAGGAAAAGTAATGGGCCTAGTACTCCCCCTTGAGGGGTTCCTAGGTCATTATAAAATATATCAGAGTGGATATTATCAATTGAAACAAAAAATCTGATGTGTCCAACACATGACAACACAAAACGGATTCAGGGTGCCTCAAAACGTAGAAAAAAATCATGATTCCTATACTTTCTTTATATCTGTATACAGATAGGAAAGTAAAAATACATAATTTGAATATATTACTGTATTTGAATTGCAGTCCACCGTCCGACTAGATTTTACGTCTAGTCGGTGTTTAATCTATATATATATATACCGGGTGTTTAAATTAAAGTTTTACAATTAAATATCGGCGAAAATACGTTTTTTATAAAAAAAATCTGTATCCAATACATGACTTTCCTATCTAGTTATTATAGGCTTTTTCCAGTTATTTTGTACAACCTATTGTAGCACCTCTATAAATGTTTAGAGGATAAACTAATTATATACATTTTTCACCCTATAAAAGTAACAAAAATTGTTCTTAAACCATAAAAAAATAATTATTAGGAAAAGTAATGGGCCTAGTACTCCCCCTTGAGGGGTTCCTAGGTCATTATAAAATATATCAGAGTGGATATTATCAATTGAAACAAAAAATCTGATGTGTCCAACACATGACAACATAAAACGGATTCAGGGTGCCTCAAAACGTAGAAAAAAATCATGATTCCTATACTTTCTTTATATCTGTATACAGATAGGAAAGTAAAAATACATAATTTGAATATATTACTGTATTTGAATTGCAGTCCACCGTCCGACTAGATTTTACGTCTAGTCGGTGTTTAATCTATATATATATACCGGGTGTTTAAATTAAAGTTTTACAATTAAATATCGACGAAAATACGTTTTTTATAAAAAAAATCTGTATCCAATACATGACTTTCCTATCTAGTTATTATAGGCTTTTTCCAGTTATTTTGTACAACCTATTGTAGCACCTCTATAAATGTTTAGAGGATAAACTAATTATATACATTTTTCACCCTATAAAAGTAACAAAAATTGTTCTTAAACCATAAAAAAATAATTATTAGGAAAAGTAATGGGCCTAGTACTCCCCCTTGAGGGGTTCCTAGGTCATTATAAAATATATCAGAGTGGATATTATCAATTGAAACAAAAAATCTGATGTGTCCAACACATGACAACACAAAACGGATTCAGGGTGCCTCAAAACGTAGAAAAAAAATCATGATTCCTATACTTTCCTTATATCTGTATACAGATAGGAAAGTAAAAATACATAATTTGAATATATTACTGTATTTTTTTCATAGGGAAATACACCTACTGGTTAGGTTAGATAGATATTTAGATCTATCTAACCTAACCAGTAGGTGTATTTCATACCTAATTT